AAAGAGAGCTTTGAAGTGAAAGATCTGGGAGAAGCAAAGTTTATGCTTGGAATCCAGATAACTAGAACAGCAAATGGTTATTCTCTAGATCAATCTAGCTACATAGAGAAGATCTTGAAGAAATATAACTATTTCGACTGTAAACCTGCGTGTACTCCGTATGAGGCTAGTGTAAAGCTATTTAAGAACACTGGAGACAGTGTAAGACAATCAGAATATGCTAGCATCATTGGCAGTCTCCGTTATGCTGCGGATTACACTCGACCAGACATTGCATATGTCGTGGGATTACTTGGCAGGTTTAACAGCTGTCCTAGTAGAGAGCATTGGAATGCTATAGAGAGGGTCATGAGATACCTCAAGAGAACAGCAAACCTTGGTATACACTATCAAAGGTTTCCTGCTGTACTAGAAGGGTATAGTGATGCGGATTGGAATACCCTATCAGATGACTCCAAGGCAACCAGCGGGTATGTTTTCAACATCGCTGGTGGAGCTGTGTCTTGGAAGTCAAAGAAACAAACAATCCTAGCTCAATCAACTATGGAATCAGAGATGATAGCATTAGCAACGGCTAGTTAAGAAGCAAGTTGGTTGAGAGGATTGTTGTCAGAGATTCCCCTATGGGAAAGGCCGGTCCCTCCAGTATTGATCCATTGTGATAGTACCGCAGCTATCGCGAAAGTTGAGAACCGGTTCTATAACGGAAAGAAACGACAGATTCGTCGTAAGCAGAGTACTGTAAGAGAACTCCTAACGATAGGAGCAGTGAGGGTGGATCATATAAGATCCGAACAGAATCTAGCTGATCCTTTGACGAAAGGATTACCTAGAGAGAAAGTCCAAAATACCGCCAAGGGTATGGAACTTATGCCTACCGAACCACAGACTACAAGTGATGGTAACCCGACCCAATAGACTGGAGATCCCAAGAAATGGGTTCAATGGGTAATAACAAGTCATGAGTAGTATGCAAAAAGTTCATGCATAGTGAAGCATGAATCCCAAAGCAATGGAGGTTGAGTTAATAACTCTTAATGAGATCTATACCCTATGTGGGGTGGAGTACTTTACTTTGGGGGTACTCTTGATAGAATCACCTATGTGAATGTGGGAGTGGGGCTGCTCCCTATTGAACTTTGGAGGCACAAAGTTGCTAGAGCGTTCACTAAACCAGGGTAACGTGCATGGCCTTAAACGCACGGGCTATGAAGAGAACACAACTCAATGAAAAGATCCGGTGTGCTGCACTGTATGAGATAGGGTTCAAGACTACGAGTCACCCTTATGAAATCGGAAGTGTAACCACTACGCTAAGGTTCAAATCTTCGCGATACCTTAGCTTATGCCCGATCTTATGGAACTGTTGATGCTCAGAGATAGTTTCAAAACTATTCAAGTGGGGGATTGTTGGAAATGTATATGAATAGCTTTGAAAGCTATAGAGTCTCTAGTGGAAAAACTACCACATTGGTAGTTTTACTTGGTGAAATGTGTATAAAGATAGGAGCCTCTCTCCTAAGGGCATGCCCCTTAGGGTGACCCACTTTTGTGGGAGAGTGAGGACCTAACGGACCACCACATACACGCGCGCGCGCGCGCCGTCTGTCCGTCCGACCGACCGGCCGGTCGATTGGTTGGTTGGTTCACTTGAGACTATATATATTTTTGGAGAAATTCCGAACGAAATTAATTATCTAATAATTAATTATTAATCGGTTATTCTGAGAAATATTCTAAGGATAATCGACTAAAACGAAATATTCGAAGGATAATCCCTCCGGGTTTATCTTAACCGACGGTTTTAATTAAGGAAGTAATTATCTTCCTTAATTAATCTGACTTATTCCCCAAGCAATAGGGTATATTCCTAGGGGTTCGCCTTCTATAAATAGCCGCCTCCCCAGCCCCTCTAAATATCATGACAACGAGCAGAAACACGATAGAGAGAGTGTTTAGAGAGCTTCGGTTTTCGCACAAAACCGCGAGTATTGAGAGGAGCTGTTTTATCCTGGAGACGACCGGTTGATAGTCTGCCGTGCGCATCGAAGGCAGTGCCGCGAACGTCTTAAAGAGAGCGACCTAGTTCGCGACTCAGCTCCAGATTCGGTAACCTCGTTCCTTTTGTTGTTCCGTTCCTAACACATGTCGGTGATGCTATCCAAGCAAGTATACATACAGGAAATAAATTATGTCTAAAGACGCGTACCTTCAAGTGGCAAAAACTCAGGGACATAGTATTCCGTATAACCGTAAATGGAAAAAGATCAATGGCATTTTTCCTGCTTCCGGTAAGGATGACGACCGAATGCCACTTCTCGCCCGGGAACCAATCAACAAAAATGAACAACACTTAGTTGGAATTAGAGGCATACGCCTTCAACATATACTTCACTCCAGAATCCATTTTTCAACAATAAAAAATAACACTCTAAGATTGTCAGGAAACTGGTAGGAAAGAATTGATTGAAGGCGTGATTAATCACTCTCCTTAGAGTGTTATTTGCCCCCACTACAAATTGCTGGTAGCAGGGGCGGACCCGGGGGGTTTTAGGGGTGTCTCCGGACACCCCTAAATTTCGGGAAAATGATTATCCAACCCCCGGTGGTAGTTTACGTATAGACAAAAAAAAAATATAATTGATAGTGAGGGAAACCCCCGAAATTTGAAAAATTGATTATCCTACTGTCATTTGTGTATAAAAATATAAATGGTAGGTTGGGTAATTCAAATCTAGAACACTATTATTATTATTAAACTTAATTTCCGTTGAGCTACAACTCATTTGTTGTTCGATTTTGAACAATGTGTAATAGTAAAAAGTCATTCCCTATCTCTAATTATTTCAATCTAAACTAATTTCACTCTACCCTTAATTTGTATTGATTTTATGATTCTACGGCAAGTGTTGAAGAGTCTTTCAGTTTTGGGTTACATCAAGAACAAGTTTACAAATCGAATATGCGATAAGTTCCTGAATGATTGTCTAGTAGGGTATATGGAGAATTTTTTTTAACACTATAAACACCAAGTGTATTCTGCAATTATTTTCGAATATGAAAACACATCATGGACTTTTTTAACCTGTACGAGTAAGGTATTTTCATATTTATGATTTTATTTTTATTAAATTTATTTTTTAAAAGAGGACACCCCTGTGGAAAATTTATGGGTCCGCCACTGGCTGGTAGGCTCGAGCAAACCACCCTCAGGAGTCCCTTCAATTTTAAGTCTGGAAACAGCAATCTTGCAGACTTCTGTGTTTATGAAATAGAGAAGGAAAACGGGAAGAAGAAGTAATCTCTCATCATCAAAAGAGTTATGATAGTCATCTATTTATAGTTGTGAAAACTTGAAGTTACCTTCCGAAAAGTCACATCCTTTCACAGAAAAGGTAGTTACCTTTATGGAAGGACACATCCTTTCACAGAAAAAGGGAGTTATCTTTCTGGAAGGACACTTCTTTTCACAATATTCAAACGTTAATAAATTAATATAAAATTAATTAATTAATTAAATTGCCAAAAGACTCCATCTTTATAATTTACTTCTCCCATTAATTTCTTATTACAATTCTATTGACTAAGTCTAACCAGCGATAGCTTTAGCTTGCTTACAGTAAAAGGGTGCGTGACCGTTTCTCTCTGCCCTTCCTGTACGTAAATCTGTGGTCTTTGGAGGTCCCCCGAGTTGCCAGATATTATTGGACTTTGGCAATTATCTCTGCTCCATTATTCTTCAGCGAGTACCGTTTGGACTTTGGAGGTCCCCGAGTTGCCAGCTTTGAACGTAAATCTGTGGTAGTGTAGTGTTCTTCGAGAAACCCACATCATAAATTGTGGTTGAGGAATTTGATCAAACAGTTGGTGTGATTAATTAAAGAGACCACGTTTTTCTTCTGTCTTCTTTCCAAGGCATATATGTCTAAGAAAATTCGATGCTCCCACTGTCTTATCATTTCTCGAATGACTCTTAATCTCACTCTGTTGGTTTCATTAGTACTTCAATTTTTTAGGTTCAATGAATCCCTTAATAATTCCAAATTAATGGCGGATTACGTGCCGCAGTTGTGGTGCTGGATAGGGGTGGAAATCGGTACGGTATCGGTATCCCAATACCAAATATCGAAATTTCAAATACCGAATTACATTCTAAAGTCAATCCCAATCTCAATCCCTAAATAATTTCGGTATCCCAATCCCTAAATATTTCGGTCTCCCAATCGGTACTTCGGTATCCCAATCAGTATTATCAAATACAAAATTAATTACCTTTGCAATTAATAATTAAACATATAAATTAGATTTTATTGTTTAATTTAGGGGGAAAAGACTAAGCAAAGTGTCTTGAATTAGGATATTATTAAGGGGAAAGGAGGAGAGGAGACATCTCAAATTCTTGTCATTGGTAATCGTTAATTTGACGAATTAGAGGTTGAGAGACGACTATTAATAGTGATAGAAAGATCTGTGTATAATTAAATGACACTCTTGGTAGTTTAGGGTCGTTTAGTAGTGAATGAGAGAGTCTAGTTGAGAGGATAAAATACACACTAGCTTATATTTCGGTATTGATCGGTATTTCGGTATATACCGATCCCAATCCCGTAATCCCTAATACCGAATAACAAAAACTTCCAGCCCTAGTGTTGGAGACAGATTAGACACCGATACTTGACTAACAGTATTTTGACCAATAATGAATGAGCAGTCAGTGATGCCTTTGCCCATGACACATCGTTCTCTGAAGGTGATATTTTCAGTACGATATTAGGCGGAAATGTCTTTTCAATGAAGACAACTAACTCATGAGACTTCACTTTTCTCTTGTAGTTGCAATTTCGTGTTCGACCACCCAAGGGCCAAGGGTCTCTCTTTGCTTATATAAGTGAAGCCCTATTGGCTACAATTTTGCAAGGAGCATCGTGCATATATACATGTAAAGTGAAGCAACGATAAAGAACCACCCTGCTTCACTGTAGGGGGGGGGGGGGGGGGAAATGTTTGTTTGCATGGCAATGGCAGGTAGTCAACCTCCAATGTCTTCTAAATCTGTGTCTCCTCTTGTTCCTGCTGCTATCCCAGGTTCAGCTTCCTTCTCTTCACTTTACATCAATGATGATAGTTTCTTTGAAAAAAAATTACCAAGTAAACCCAACTTTCAAACTTCTCCCTCGGCTGCTCTCCTTGTGCAGCAAAATGCAGAGAATCTGGATCACTGCTCACCACAGAATTTAGCAACACTAGTTTGGTATTCCTCCATTTCCCTCTTCTTCATTTTCTGTTATCCTAATCACTGCACCAGAAGCTACATTGCCCTCTTCCTCTCTTATTTTTTGTGTGATGATGGGCATACTACTTACAAATTAAGCATCATTTGTTTTCCAATTGCAGAGTTGCGATGACTCGAGAAGAATACAACAGATAAAGAAGATGTTTGATGAGGCTCAGCTCTCAGTGTCTGCATACGACACTGCTTGGATGGCCATGGTTCCAACTCCTACTTCATCCATCCCAGACTCTCCTTTCTTCCCTCAATGTGCTAGATGGATACTGGACAACCAACTGAGTGATGGCTCTTGGGGTCTCCCTCGCCGTGATCCATCCTTAAGTAAGGATGCTCTCTCCTCTACCTTGGCTTGCATTCTCGCTCTCCAACGTTGGGGCCTTGGTGAACAACAAGTCACTAAAGGTAATAATATACAACTTACATTCCTCAATGGGTTAGTCCAAATCGAGATTTTACTTTAAAAACTATTTTAGAACACATGTTGCTGCGATGTTGTTGTAGGACTCCGGTTTCTTGACTGCAATTCAGCTTCCCTAACGGATCAGAAGCAGCATGTACCTATTGGGTTTGACATAATATTCCCTGGCATGATTGACTGGGCAAAAGATTTAGGATTGAACCTCCCTTTCAAGTCAACTGATGTAGATGCTATGCTAACTAAGAGAAATGTGGAGCTTACAAGGTATAATCCCCCATCCTCTGTACTGTATATGCATGCATTGCTTCCCTATTTATGCTCTCATTTTATTCTCTCCTTCTACATTAGTGGGTTCAGTAGAAATGCAGAGGGAAGGAGAGCCTACTTGGCATATGTTTCAGAAGGTATCCAACACACACAAGACTGGGACATGGTGATGAAATATCAGAGGCAGAATGGATCCCTCTTCAACTCACCTTCGACTACTGCAGTTGCTTTTTCTCATCTTCGAGATCCTGATTGCCTTCGCTATCTGTCTTCCATCTTAGACAAATTTGAGAATGCTGGTCTGTCATTTTTAACTACAGTCTTCTAGAATCCTTGACCCACCTTCTTATTTAACATCTACTGAAAACCACTACTGCCTATGTCCTTGTTAGCTCCAACAATATATCCACTGAGCATACGCAGCCGCCTTTCAGTCATAGACACTCTTGAAAGTCTGGGAGTTGCTCGACATTTCACCAATGAAATAAAGATGTTGCTGGACAAGACATACCAGTAAGCAATTATTTACTTAGCTCTAGGATTGTGCTTTAACGAAATTTATGAGTGAAACTATGATACACCCATCTCATAAACAGATGCTGGTTGCAAGGGGATGAAGAAATATTTCTGGATACAACCACATGTTCTATGGCTTTTAGATTGTTGCGTGTCTATGGATACGATGTCTCTTCAGGTATGTCTTTCAAATGCATGAAAATGGTGTTATGGTGATCACGTGATGTTATTTTTCTACTGTCAAAACTTCTGACTTGCTGTGTTAAAATTACCTACAGATTGTCTATCTCCGTTCTCAGAAGATTGTTTCTTCAATTCACTAGAAGGATACTTAAAGGACAAGACTGCTGTACTGGAATTGCACAAAGCTTCCCAAATAATTTATCCAGAAGAACCTATCCTGGAAGAACTAAATTCTTGGACCATGAATTTCCTTAAACAGGAATTCTGCAACGACTCGATTTATCGTGACCAAATTGATGAGAGTATCAGCACAAAGGTATGATGTACTCAGGGTTAATGCTTGATGAATTATAAGAGATCAGTAGAACCTGCTCTTCCAGAGTAACTATGGAATATGCTTAAACTTAAGAGATAGTAGTCCCCTTAATCTTTCCTAAGCTACCTTTCATCTCATTTCAGGTGCATGATGCTCTCACATTTCCCTATCATGTTGATTTGGATCGCTTATGCCATATGAGAAGCATTCACCATTACAGTGATATAGATAACACTTGGACCTTGAAGACCTCCTATTGGTACACCTCTTTCCTTCTCCCTGAATCTGAAGTACCTCTGAAAGAATTTTACTTCTGCTCACTGTGGTTTGCCGCTTTATGGTTCTGGTTGCAATACTAGTTGTCCAAACATTGGGAACAAGGATCTTCTTAAACTGGCAGCAGAAGACTTCAATTTCTGCCAGTCGATACAGCAGAAAGAACTCAAGCTGCTAGGAAGGTTTGATTCTTGATACTTTCCTTCTGTTGTTTGCTGTTTGCATGTTTGTTGAGAGGTTTATCCTGTCCACTTCTTCCAGAGACGTGTTAGGAGCGGTTTAGCTATTCTTTCTTCGAGCTGCAACTTTAACATCCTGAAAGGAACTTAAAATTTGTCAGCCATAGCTAAAAAGTTGCTTGTTGTGTACCATTCTTACGAACTCGGGTTATGTATGCAGGTGGATCATTGAGAACAAGTTAGACAAGCTATCATTTGCGAGGCAGAAACTGGGCTATTGCTACTTTTCAGCTGCTGCAACTATCTATGCACCTGAACTATCTGATGCTCGCATCTCATGGACCAAAAATGGCGTGCTTACAACTGTCGTGGATGACTTTTTCGATGTCGCGGGTTCCATGGAAGAATTAATAAACCTTGTTCAGTTGCTTGAGAAGTACGCTACCCTTCAATCATGTTGTTCTTGGTGCTGCTTATCATTCTTCCACTCTATCTGCCAGTCGAAATTATAAGGTTTTCAATGAATTGCAGGGGTGAAGTGGATGCAAGCATAGATTTTTGTTCCGAGGAAGTCGAGATCCTTTTCACAGCAATCCGAGGCACCATTCGTGAAGTTGGAGACATGGCATTGGCATGGCAAGGACGTGATGTTTCCAGTCATATAAATGACATTGTGAGTTGAAGCTCTCTTTTACCTTTCTTTGCTACTCTGTGACCCAACTAGGATTTCCATTTGTCAAACCTTTGCTACTATATAGTATATTAACAGTTTGGTAATGTGAAACTACCATAATTGTGACAGTGGGTGGAAACGGTGAAGTCAATGTTGAAAGAAGCGGAGTGGTCAAAGAACAAGTGGGTGCCAACAATGGATGAATACTTGCAGAACGCAGGCCTGTCATTCGCATTGCTGCCGATTGTTCTTCCCGCTGTATATTTAGTAGGGCCAAAGCTCTCGGAGGAGATGGTGAGCAGTGCAGAGTATAAGAATCTGTATGAAGCGATGAACACTTGTGGGCGCTTGCTCAATGACTGGAGAGGAGTTCAGGTGAAATAGCTTTCTCTCTGGATCTGAATTCATTACTCAGAGCAAGTTTTGTGGGTTTGGCGATGAGTTTAAGACTGTGGTTTCTGCAGAGGGAGTCGGAGCAAGGGACGGTGAATGCGGTCTCGGTGCTGCTGCATGAAGGTGGTCGGACCTTGGACGACGCCATGGAAGAGGTGAAGAGACTAATTGAGAGGGAGACGAAGCAACTGTTGAAGTTGGTGTTGTTGGAGAAGGAGAATGGAATACCAAACTGCTGCAAGCAGTTGTTTTGGAACATGACAAAGGCTTGTCACCTTTTTTACATGAACAATGATGGGTACACTAATGAGGAAATGGTTGGTGTAGCCAAGTCCATCCTTGATGAACCTATCCACCTTTCTCCTTAATAAGATTAACTAGAATGGAGTGGAATAAGGCAACTATCACAATTTAGCATTGTGAACTAATAAGGTCACGTATAGGGTTAATTGTATGGTTGGTCACTGAGATTACAAAAAACGTTCATGTTTGGTCACTCTAAATATTTAAATCCATTTTTGGTCACTAACTTTACAAAAACCGTTCATTTATGGTCACTCTCTGTTAGCTGTCATCCAACGCCGTTAACGGCGTCCGTTAAGTGATGACGTGGCTGACGGATTTGCCTAATCAACACTTTTTAACCCCAAAATTGATTGACCCGACCCGTCACATCATTTAAACCCTCCATGTCAGCTAAACCTAACCAAACCTCTAACCAAACCAGACCCGCTAACTAAAACAGAACTGAACCGACCCACCAATTAATCTACCCACCTTTGACTAAAACCCTAATCGAAGACAAATCCATCCGCCTCCATCCCGCGCCGCCTTCCTCCCTTCCGTTTTTCTTCCTCTCCAACTCTGATCTCGAACGAGGAGGCGGGATGCCCAATTGCAGGCTGACGTGCAGGACCGCTTGCTCCTTGTCTTCGCCGGGATGGAGACGTCGGCGTCGAAAATGGGGTTGTTGCTGCTGTTGTTGTTCCCGGTGGTGATGGCGGAGGAATCGTCGGTGCGGCGTGATTTAATCCCGGAGAGGAGCTGCAGCTTTTGCAGGTCCTCGCTCGAGAACGACGATTCCTCCACGAAATTCGATAGCCATTCCAGCTCCGCCAAATCATCGTACTGTCCCCCGGAAAAGACAAAAAAACAAACCTCCCGATAAATGGTAATTTCGTCAATCTGAATTAATGGAAATTATCGCTCTCTATTTCACGCAATTACAGAAAGAATTGACTCGTTCCCAAGAAATGGGTTGCTAATTCCTATCGATTAAATTGGGGAAATGGGTTAATTGATTACCGGGAGGCAGAGGTCATTGGAGAAGTGGGAGTCGGAGAAAGCTGCGGCCGGAGGAGGAGGAGGGTAATTGAAGCCGGAGGGAGGGTCGGAGCCAGAGAAGGAGGAGGAATTGCAGCTGTTATCAACGACGGTAACAGTGGAGGAGTCGGCGAGTACGTCGTCGTCCTCTTCGTCCTCGTTGGAGAAATCCAAGAGGTCTTCCACGACGAAATGCTCACTTCCACCGCCAGTACTGGGCTTGGAATTATCGAGGAGGCGGGACGCCCAATTGCAGGCTACGCGGAATGGAGGCGGATGGATTTGTCTTCGATTAGGGTTTTAGTAACAGGTGGGTAGATTAATTGGTGGGTCGGGTTAGTTCCGTTGTAGTTAGCGGGTCTAGTCTGGTTTGGTTAGGTTTAGCTTACATGAAGGGTTTAAATGACGTGGCGGATTGGGTCAGTCAATTTTGGGGTTAAAAAGTGCTGATTAGGCAAATCGGTCGGCCACGTCATCACTTAACGGACGCCGTTAACGGCGTTGGATGGCGGCTAACGGAGAGTGACCATAAATGAACGGTTTTTGTAAAGTTAGTGACCAAAAATGGATTAAATATTTAGAGTGACCAAACATGAACTCTTTTTGTAATTTCAGTGACCAACCATGCAATTAACCCGTCACTTATATATGGAAAAAAGGTAATGAGTTAGATAAGAGTGTAAGTGGCATTCTAATTAGTCAATATTTGCCATGGTCGTCAATGGAGAATTGATCGATGTTGCCGCTCATTTGTTGAAATATGGAATTTCAATAGAAAAAATAGCATGACAGAGTATGGAGGTCATGTTGTCGTCTGCTATCAATGTCACACTTACTACTAAGCAATTTTGGGATATGAGATATGAAGTTATACAACGGAATGATTTTTAGGTTCAATGTGGTTGTCTCCAGTTTTGATCCTTGAGCAATTTTAATGGTCACACAATTTGTGGGCCCAAGCGCAAAATCGCGGAGTGAGGAGAAACCGCACAAAAAACGCAAATCTACACATTTTTTTTTTTTTTGCATCAAGGGAGGCTAAAAGCCACAGAAGCAGAGACAAATAGGGGGGGGGAGGGGAAATTACATGACAGAAGAGGTTTCGGTGGAATCCACCACTTCTCTGGGGAAGGATTGCCCTCGAGCATCGTCTCCCAGAATTTGCCGTAGCCCCTGCGGAGGTAAGTCAAGTTCATTCTTACCATAGGGATAGACGAGACTGTGCTTCGAGAGCCAGTCCGCGACTCTATTCCCTTCACGATAAGTATGAACTATCCTCACCACCCAATCACGAGCAACTTTTCGTCTAATCGCCGCTAGCAGGGTCGCGTGCGGGTGCACCGGGTCGTTTCGCTTCTCTATAAGTTGAATAGCCATCTGAGAGTCAGATTCCAGGATGACAGTCCTGCTGCCCTCGTCCCACGCCATATCCAAACCATGGTAAATTCCCCACAGCTCCGCTTGAACAGCCGAGCAAGTTCCCAAATTTGCAACAAAACCTTTGATCCAAACCCCATGGTGATTCCGCAGGGCCCCTCCCGCGCCTGCCGGCCCCTGGGATCCGTTCGCAGCGCCATCAACATTTACCTTGATCCAGCCTGCAGGAGGAGGAACCCAACTGATCTCCCGATACACTCTCTGTACCGCAGTGCCCCGCCGACCTAGGATGTTCTGAGGAGCCACCCAAGCCTTATACCACAGCGTAGCTTTGATCTTGGTGGCCTGTGTCAGAGAAGGCGGGGAGAGGGTCTTCCCAATTCCCTTGAACACTCCTTCATTTCTGTTCTTCCATAGATTCCAGCTGGCTATACTGAAGAAAGCATTCCAGGGGATCTCGCTAGTCCAAGTGGCCTCTACCTGCAAATTTTTCTCAATCCAAGCTTTAGGCTGCAGGGTGAAGAACTCCTGCTGGTTCTCTGGGGAATCGTGCGTGCCCACAGGAAGGCCGCGGTAGGGCAGTCTCTGAGGATATGGATTGTAGTCTCTTCTAGTGTAGAGCATCTGTAGCAGCAGGGTGAGGAGGCGATCTTTCTCTTCACAAGCTGGGCGTTGCTGCTGATTTTGTCGTGCGCTACGACCCACATGAAACACCGCACTCTCTCCGGCACCGGGAGTTTCCATATGTTTTTCCACATCTGAGCTGCCTCGCTGGGGACTCTAGGCTGCATTAGCTGAAAAGCACTCTTGGCTGAGAAACGGCCGTCTGAGGTGGGCTGCCAGAAAAGCACATCATCCTCCCCTGCCAGAGGGTCCACTGCCTTTGCTGTGATTTGACGAGTCACAGCGTCCGGGAGCAAACCCTCGAACATTTCGGTGAGCCAGTTCCCGTCCTCATCAACAAAATCTGCCACCATGCCGTCTCTTATATCGTCCGGAACTGGGCCAGTGGTCAACTCGATCAAGGGAACCTGCGAGATCCAAACATCAAGCCAAAAACGGGTTAGGTTGCCTTTATGAATATTCCAGCCAGAACCATCTTTCAGCAGTTCTCTGGTTTTAGAGACGCTATTCCAGGTGAAGGAACTTCCCTTTATGGGTTTGATGATGTCGAGGTTCTCCCTGTTCTTCCCATACTTGCCACGCATCAGCTGAGTCCAAAGCGTCTCTTTCTCTTTCATCAGCCGCCACCCACACTTGGCCAGCATTGCCAGGTTGACCGATCTGGAGGGCCGGATACCTAGACCTCCTTGGTCCTTTGGCAGGGTCAAAGTTTGCCAGCCCACCAGATGTAGTTTTCTTTTCTCTTCCGAGTCGCCCCAGATGAAGCTGCGATTTATCTTATCCAGATCCTTGCAAACAGTTTTCGGCATGAGCTCCACCTGCATAGGATAAACGGGAATAGACGCAGCAACTGATTTAACAAGAGTAATGCGAGAGGCAAGGGAAAGATGCCTAGCTTTCCAAGGGGCGAGTTTCTTCTGAATCCTGAGTGAAAGGGGCGAGTTTCTACACATAATATAATACACCGAAGGGAAAAACGGGAGCCCTATTTCAAATTTCCTGCAACGAGAGTGAAAGTAGGAAGGACATTTTGGTCTTCACACTTACTTTTTTTAATTCATTAAAAAGATACGTAGTGGGATTCGAACCATCACCATTTTAAGGAAAAGTAAGGATCATAACCAATCACACTAAGTACATTTGTAGCATCTTTTTAAATTAAAAAGATATAATAGCAGAGAGGAAAAAACCCTTCCCCCATTTCAAATTTCCTGCTCTATGAGCGTTTGTAGGAATGATAGAATAGGGAGTGTCAATTTTTTCCTCTTTCCTCTGTGGAACGGGCCAACTTACCGTACACATGCGGATTTAAACGGGTTCAAGAGTGTCAATTTTTTCATTAAGCCCTTTTATTTCTCCGTGGTGATAAAATATATATGAAGAGGCAAAAACAATACTTCTTTTTATTGCTAAAAATAAAAAAAAATTAACAATAAACTAATGCATGGTATCTAATGGGCTAACCGCTAACCATAAAATAAAAGAGTTGAATTGGTTTGACCTACACGGGATTTGGCCATCAAGTAAAACAAATGAACATCATTGGTTTGACATTCTAAAACAAGCTATTTTCTCTGGCATAATATATTATGCTATTATTTTATATCTTAGTGGCTAAAATATAATGTATTTTGAAGTTATTCAATCTTTCAACCTCGACCAACCCAATTAGTCCAATTTTTATCATTTCAAATATATATTATATAATTATTTGATATCATAATGATCAAATCATAGTGTATTTTATAGGGAATCGTTTGGTATTTGTTAGTAAAAAACTAAACAGAAAGATCTATTTGGTTATTTTAAACATTAAAACGATCCTAACATTTTCAGTTCCTTTTGAATTTCTATGGTTTTATTCCCGAATAAGTGATGTGCAAATGGCAGTCATCTCTTTTATTTCACTATTTTTTATTTTCAAATAAAAAGTTTAAAAGTAAAGAATAATTAGAATTTGGCATGGGTCGGTCAAATAGGCTGCATTTCAAGTTTTGGCCCCTTTTGATCGAGTCTAATTTATAATCACATGGTTCCCTGATAC